GACAAACAGAATGTAAGTAATGAATACATATACAGGAATGATGGTTCCATTTCCATATATTTTAACATTTCAAAACCTAAAACAAACAGAATGTAAGTAACAAATACATATACAGGAATGATGGTTCCATTTCCATATTTTTTAACATTTCAAAACCAAGACAAACAGAATGTAAGTAATGAATACATATACAGGAATGATGGTTCCATTTCCATATATTTTAACATTTCAAAACCTAAAACAAACAGAATGTAAGTAATGAATACATATACATGTATGATGGTTCTGTTTTCCATATTTTTTAACATTTCAAAACCTAAAACAAACAGAATGTAAGTAATAAATACATACACAGGTATGATGGTTCTGTTTCCATATTTTTTAACATTTCAAAACCTAAAACAAACAGAATGTAAGTAATGAATACATACACAGGTATGATGGTTCTGTTTCCATATTTTTTAACATTTCAAAACCTAAAACAAACAGAATGTAAGTAATGAATACATACACAGGTATGATGGTTTCGTTCCATATTTTTGATGATTTCAAAGTGATTACGTAACTATAGATAATCATTAAGTACAGTAATATACTCAGTAGTAGTTGTTGTGAGGAAACAAAATGGCAGACATAAAACTAGCCACTTAAAACCACCTTTAAGATGTCTGATTATTAAAAGTGACTATTTCACAGTATTGGCTGCACAAAACTAAAGCTTATTGTACATATAAAGCTGCCTATATCACAACATGTTTTTATGAAGTGAATCAAAATTAGTTACTTTTCCAGACAAGCATACTGAAAAAATGATGAACCTTATCACTCTAATTCTTTCACAAAACTCTTCCATCTGGGGTTACAATGATTCCTTTCTTGTATCAAAAAAGGATACTATTATATCTAAAATGGACGATGTGATATTTTGGGCATATAATCAGATTTAAGGGTAGGTTGGTAGAAATCCTGATAAATAATAATACTGAATCTGGTATATGTGCACCCCACGCTTGCTATTTCTGGTGCACAAAAACATAGCTAATAAAAAAGAAACAAACAAACTGAGTTATTTAAAACATTTTATCCACACTTTGGGTCAGACTAACATAACAAAACAACTTTGTTGAATAGTCAGTATCGTTTCACTTGCTGACAAATATTAAATATAGATATCAGTAGAATAGCTGACAAATATCAAATATGGATATCAGTAGAATAGCTGACAAATATCAAATATAGATATCAGTGGAATAGATGACAAATATCAAATATAGATATCAGCGGAATAGATGACAAGTCTCATATATAGATATCAGCAGAATAGCTGACAAGTCTCATATATAGATATCAGCAGAATAGCTGACAAGTCTCATATATAGATATCAGCAGAATAGCTGACAAATATCAAATTTAGATATCAGTAGAATAGCTGATCATTCCATTTAATAGTTGTTGTTGTTTTTTGGTGTTTTGATAAATAGGATGCATTTTTGTGTATTTTGTGGTTATGTTTCTTTTAAATAAAAACAACCAAATTTATATTGTTTTTTTTTCAATATGACCTTGACCTTATAACCCGAAAATCTGTAGAGTTCTTACCACTCATCCAAGGGAAGTGATCTGTGAAATTTTATTAAAATACATTATTTATAACTCTCTTTATTACAGCATGAATTAGAGATGGACAGATAACTTCTTAGAACCAAATATTCTCAGCTTTCATGTTGTGGACATTGTAATGATTTGTCTCCATTAGAATTAAGTCTTGATTTATAAATCTTTGTATTTTTCTGTCACAAATACATAATTATGAAGACATTATTTTTATACAATTCCTAATTAATAACTTGTAAATAATCAAATGACTTTCATCAAAGTACAATAAACTCACACACCATACTACACTTTTCACAATATTTTCTCCAAAGTTTCATGTACCTGTAGATGCATAGTAAACAAAAACTACTAAAGTACTTCCATTTACCTTTAGAACTTGCCCTTTACAGAAGCTAAGTTCATCATCTGCTGTTGCTGTGAAATCATGTTTTGAAATAGCCTCCATACTCTCCAAACGTGTGTTTTCAGTCACTTCAAATATCTTATTGTTTCTTCTAAAGACACCTATCACCGAGGAAACAGAATAGTTTTAATAACAAAGATAAGCTTCATTTTCATAGCCACATTTAGATATTTCTGTAAACTACCACCAGGTGATAAAAACTATGGGTGAAATACCTCTTACATTCAGATACTTCTGTAAACTACCACTAGGTGATACAAACTATGAGTGAAATATCTCTTTAGTGGACATCAAGACAAGTTATTTACTTTTATGAGTAAGAATAAAATACAACATTTATTTATATAAATATGACAAATCTTTTCTGGACTTTGATATACATATTTTAGGTTTTTAGTTGATATTAAGATGGCTGAAGTACATCTTTAGTGGACAAGAATATAATGCAAAGCATAAACACATCAACCAGTAACTTATCCAACAACAACTAATCCTAAAAATTAAATTATTTTGCCTAAAAGAATCCTACAGTTATAGTGTCCAAAGTTTATACAACTGGCAATTATATTAATGTCTACACTGTCAACCCTTGCAATATACATCTGATACATTTTTCAGAACCTCCCAAAACTCAAAACTTGAATCACAGCTTTTCTGTTTATTTAAATGAATGGACAATATTGTTTTTCAAGTATCTAAATTTTATGCATGTCTAATATTGTCAAGAACTAGAGAAATAGTTTAGAAAACCAATATACTGATAAGTTTTAAATCATTAAACCATTCAGTATTATTTCTAAATTGGTTGTTTTCCTAAATTTTTATCAATAAACAATAATACACAAATCTAAAGAAATAACAATGGCCTTATAACTCAAGAATATACCAGTTTCATTTCATAGCTTCATACAAGGTGTGAGCTATATACAATCCCATTACCAAAACAAACATACTCTAAAGGACAATATCCCCATCAATATATAGTACTGATTAATAATTAGTTTTCAGAATTCATCTCTTTCAAACATTTGGTGACAATGATTACCCAGTATCTATTGCTGTAGACAATTGTATATACATTAAAATGGGTGCAGAAATATGGTGACTGTTTATTTGTGTTTAGAGGGTTGTCCTAAACATCAATTCTATATTGTTTCTAACTCTTCCCATTTCATTCAAGAAAAAAGTTTGAACATATTAAAACTTTCTTAATCACAAAATTGTTCCAGAATCCATGTTAAAAGAACATCTGTCAAATTATTCTAAATCACAGTAAATGGCTATTGGTATTATTTTTACCATATTGATACCAATATTAAGGTTATTACTGTAACTTTTCTGTTTGAGTTCCATTTGTTACTTGTTATGTGTTATTAATATTAAGATTTTAAAAGTTGGATCAGTAAGTTTTATTATGGATGAATTGATGGTCATTTGTTTATTGTTTTTATAATTCATATCCAGGTCATTCACTTCTTCATTAAATACTTCTATAATTTCTAAACCATAACTGGCCTGAGGAGCACATGTAGTGATGTACTGATGTAGTTTAAACACAAAAATATGAACATTAATTAGCAGTTATTATTTTGCTTTACTTACCGTGAATAGGCCAAAACTAAAATATCAACAAATTAGTTTCAGTCAGTGGTATACCAATTTAGTAAACTCTGAACAGTTACAATAACCAAAATATAAACATTTTAAAGCAAAACTAAAAATAATAAGAAATGCATGTACTATGAATATGATGTAGTATTTCTGTTACAATTTGTATTAGAAAGAAAAAAAAAGCTAATATTAATAATAAGATATATCTACGGGCTGTAATTTATAACATATAAAGCAAGCCTAAGTATACACATTACCATCTACATCATTAGTATATTATCGTTTATATTACTTAAGACACGTGCTAAAAATATTAATAACTATCAACTATAAATAAGTTATATTCGACTCACTTTTACACTGCCGTCTATCGACGATAAAAATATATCTGCCGTTGAAATAAGCGATGGGCGTGTACAGGTATACAGATAAACCCTTCTGTCTCTCCTTTTGAAGAGGTATCGTGTAAAGTTATATGTTTATCATGTCTGTCACAAGAATTTCTGACGTCAAGATAATAATTACGCTAGTCCTAATCTTGTATATACATTAGTTGGAAAAATCACGTATTTAGAGTTGATTCGGGAATACATATTAATATAAGGTAGAAATAACGAAAAGGGTTAATGATTTATTTGGTGTTAAAATTTTATTAGAAAGTTTGATGTTATTATTAGTCATGTCACGGTTGAAAGAATATATGACTTTTGAAGGTTAGCGGAGGGGGCGCTCTGAATAAAGCTGAAAAGTGTGAATTGCTGACCCTTAAATATTGGGCGTTCACCTCATTCAGTGATAATAATAATAAAAATACAGGTTAAATTTGGATATATAACCAGATTATACGAAGCATTTTTGAATTTTTTTAAGATAATGTTTGATCAAAATTTTTGGATTTTAAAATCAAGCAAAAAATAAATTATCAGTGCTTCATTTTAGTTTACCGTCTGTTTTAACTTTTTGAGTTTTATATATATATATTGTTACGTCTCCGTTTGTTAATTAACTTTCCGTAACTTCGTTCGGACGAAACTTTAGCGACACAAGTATTTACTTAATAAAACTGGTTTATTCTTCCCGAATATAACTTTACCGATACACTCAACTTCAACAATCGCGCTAAACAAACGCTGTAACGTCTCTCGTGCTCTCTGACTGCAGTTCAATTACTCACTGTCTATTCACACGCATCACCTTCATCTCGCGTCACGTTGTCCCCTCTTATATATACCAAACTACCCTATATCTAGCAAATACTAGAGCATTCGCCAAGATACGGGATAGTTCTAGAAACGTGGCGTCACTGTAGTCATGTGATCTCGATGACGCAACAATATATATATATAGCAAAGCCATATCGTGCTATCTGCTGTGTCCGCCGCGAGGAATCGAACCCCTGATTCTAGCGTTGTAATAAATCCGTAGAGTTACCACTGTCCCACCGGCGACAAGTGTTTAAGAAACACATTATATGATGAGTTTGTTATACATGCTAGCTATATTTTAATTTAGGTGGTATTGTTTGTTTTTAATTTCGCGCAAAGCTACACGAGGGTTATCTGCGCTAGCCATCCCTAATTTAGCAATGTAAGACTAGAGGGAAGGCAGCTAGCCATCACCACCAACCACAAACTCTTGGGCTACTCTTTTACCAACGAATAGGGGATCGACCGTCACATTATAACGCCCCCACGGCTGAAAGGGCGAGCATGTTTGATGGACCGGGGATTGGAACCCGCAGATTGCAAGTCGAGCTCCCTAACCATCTGGCTGTGCCGGGCCGGTAGGTGGTATTAAGATCCTGGCTGTGAGGAGGAGGATGCTGCTTTACAAAAGTATTTAGATCATTTAGTGAGTTGGGCAAATAAATGCTAGATGGGTTTTAATTATAGTATGTTCAAGATAATGCATGTGGGTTATCATAATTACAAGTATAATTTGGATATGAATAACCTTAACAGTGTTTAAAATTGTAAAGGGAATTGATAGTGTTGATGCGTCATCTTTTTTCATACTGTTAAGACAGCGGACGTCACGTGACTGGAGTTTCTAGAAGGATCCTGACTTATTGGGCAACCTCACGAATGACCCAGCATATGCTAGGCGCTTTCTTATTTAGTATATAAGCCCGAGATTGATTGAAGGAAGATAACTGAGTCAAGCGAGCAGTGGACACCATAAGTAAAGTGTGTGAATCACTGTGAATTATAGCATGTGTTGATAAAAGTAGTTAAGTTAAAGTGACTGTGGAAATTCTGTGTATTACAAAGTTATATCGAGAAAGAATAAACTAGTTTTAATTAAGAAGTAATTTGTATCGCTGAAGTTTCTCGGAAAGAATTTCTATGGGAAATTAACAAACAAACAGATACGTAACAATATGGTGAGAATAGTAGGACTAGGGGACAAAACTATAAATTTTGCAGGTTAGTAGTCATCTTCGGTTAAGACAGTTATATTTTTCTAAGAGAGTGGTTGCCCTTTGGAACCAGTTGCCTTCGGATGTTGTGGAGGCAGTAAATTTAAGTGAGTGTAAAAGAAAGCTCGATAAGTATATGAATGATAAGGGCTGGCTTAAAGATTTTTTAAAATTTATTTATTAATAGTTTAGTTTAGAGGATGGAACAGCCAAGATAGACCAACAATTCCCATTTTGTTCTAAAACATTATGTTATGTATTCTCCTCTACAACACTGCCATGGGCACTTTGTATCCCATCCAGAACACTGTCGTGGGAATTTATATATCCCCATGTAGAACATTACAATCGGTTTTTACCTACATTAATCTATATATATATATTATTGACATCATATATCATACGTTACAATGGGTTTTTACCTACATTAATCTATATATATTATTGACATCATATATCATACGTTACAATGGGTTTTTACCTACATTAATCTATATATATATTACTGACATCATATATTATACTGTTATGCCTCTAGTCGTTTGTTAATTTCTCGTATAATTTCTTTCCGATGAAACTTTAGCGACACAAGTCCTTTCTTAAATAAAACTAGTTTATTCTTTCTCAATACAACTTTGAAATTCACTTAATTTCCACGGTCACACTATAACTTACACAAACTTTATAATTCACAACGAACGAACGATTCACGCGCTTGACTCAGTTGTCGTCTCTATCTCTGTCTTGATATTCAATTCCACTCCATTGTTGCCGTCACTTCTTGG